ACTTTTATGAATGAATGCCTCAATACCACCCCCCTTTCTGCTGCTTTGTGTTCTACTACAATATTACTACGTGTAATCCGGAATGTTTGGCGGTTGTTCCATGTCCCTGAGATGTGTTTCTACAAAACCGTATACCATCGGCCTCTCTTCACTTAGCTGTTCTTCTATCTCTTCCCACTTCAGCCTGTTCCTACCCCTTTGCATGTTAATATACCCTATGTCTGAATTGGCTCGGCGGTCGTGGCTACGTCTATTTATGCCCCGGACTCTACCTATCTTAGATATTGGTCCCACTTTGGAATTGTATCTGTCCATACCACTTGTCAAAGAGTCTCCCTGGTTGTTTTCCTCGTTACTAGCTAGCCTGAACCCCGAAGGGCCTGCTTACCCCCCGAAAAAGCTACTGTGCGTCCTGCAAGTTGCCAACCCACCTCATGACCTAGCCGCCCATCGAAGTGAATTCTGTCTCGTTGAAAACCACCCCACCTATGCACCTCTCTGTTCATTTCCACCACCTCAAAGCCTTTCTCTCGACTCATCCAGCACATCTCTTGGTTTGCGTTGACAACCGCTCTTTGCAGGTTGCTATCACGCACCGGTACCTCTGGTATCGTGCATATCACTACCTGTACCTGAAGAGAAGTGGCGCGCATGTCATCGACACCTTTCGCCAGCGTGGTTGCTAGTCCTGCTGTATCTTCATTTATGATATCGTTTAAACCACCTGAAATTATCACCAGGTTTCGTCTATCAGCTGTAGTCTTGAGTTTTGAGCTCGCTTGCCTCATGGCTGCTTCCAGTTTGCGTCCTGGGAACGCCCCTTCTGCAACCCTCTTGTCACCTCTTACCCTCTCCTTGATGGCTTCTGTGCATCGATTTAAATTTGAGTCCCCAGCGATTATCACATGCTGTGACTTTTCAGCTGGAGCGTCTTGCACCTGGGAGCTACTTGCACCTATGACGCCGGCTGCTTTGTCCCCTCCCAGCCCCATCACTACCTCGCTGAAGCTGCGCCTTGGGACAATTGAACCGGCTGAACCTGTTTTTTCCAAACATGCTTGCACTTCCTTCTCCGCCGTTCTGGTTGCCGGTTCCCTACTGTTCTCTCCGTAGGCCGCTCCTTTGTTCAGCTTCGCTAGTGCTTCCTCGGCGGACTTTAGTCTTTCTCCCGTTGCCTTCGTTCTCTCTGGCTCTGTCGCCAACGCAGTCTCGAGCTCGGCGATTCTCATCAGCAGTTCACTCTGGGCAACCATCATTTTCTCCATTTTTTCCTTGACCTCACATTGCCTACACTTCGCGTCAGCTTCTTCTCCATCCGCTTCTACACTTCTGTTCACTTTCAAACCCACTCCACATCCTGAACACTTTACAATCTTTTAAACCATGTCTTCCTGACACCAATTTTGTCCGTATACTCGATAATTACTAAACTCGAGCCCTGCACTGCGAAAAAAAAAGAAAGTCTAAGCTCTACTACAAAAATTTCCGTGTTCAATGTACCTTCCCCACGGGGTGGCAAAAGAAAAAACAACCACAAAAAATTCAAACACACCCGAAATAACTAATAAATACCTGGTGACTGGCCACCGAAAAAACCGTACCATAAAACAAGTGCTAAGAAGATTTCAACTGCTGCCTTATAATTATAAAGTCAAGCTCAAAACATGCAAAACCATAAAAAAGTGCGCGAGTGCCACCTGTCGTTAGTAATTGGACTGTGCGCTGGATATACTTCTATACGCTGAATATATGATGAAAATATGCGAGATCGTGGTACTTGGAGTGCTCACTAGATGAATGGATGGACGGACAGACGCACGGACGGACGCATGAAAGAACGCAAGAACGGATGCACGGATGAACGCACAGACGGACGGACGCACGGACGGATGCATGGACGAAAGGACATACGAACGCACGGGCGGACAGAAGCAAGAACGAACGGACTGACGGACGCTTCACCCCACTCTTATCACGTGCTCCGTGGATATGCTGTGATTTTTTTAACACTCACCGACACGGAATGTTGCACTTATCGCTAGGCGTCGTTGCGTTTACTTTGAGACAGTGTATTGAAAGACAGTGTGATTGTGAATCGGGTAGTCTTTTTGTGTGTTCGTCGTAGGTCAACACTACTGTAATAACTTCACGGCTCTTTCATACACTCTTCTCTTTCACATCCTCATTTCCCCTTACGAAGTATGACTGGGCAGCGAGGTCAGGATCTCATCTGGTTAACCTTTTGCATTTGCCTGTCTGCTTATGTTTTCTGCAGCAAGGAACCGACAACGCCTGCATAATTCAAACGGTGTCAGTTCACACCTCGTGGCAGGTGCTTTTTTTTGCTACTTCAATTCGTCATGCGGTAATCAGTCCTGCGTTACAGTTAAAGGTACAACTATTACTATATATATAACTTATATATTTTTGTTGGCTTCACTCTCTGCGGATTACATCAGTTTGTCGATAAGCATCGATTACTCATGCTTTCAAGCGAGCCTTGAAACTTCTTTCGCGAAATGCACATGAGAGAGACCTGCAGATGATAAATATTTACTTAACCTAGGCAAAACGTCAAGGTTTATTTTCACCACGAACGCAGGCAAGAGTAATGAATAACAGTGCTCACACGGTCGTTTTGTTTACTGCGCCGGACTTGCGGCAACGTGCGCCTCGCAACCCAGTGAGCAGAGCTGATTGTAGTTTTCCGGGTCTAAACACGCAAGCCGAGCCGCGGAACTCAAATATGATTATAGTAGCACACCAGAGAGCGCCCACTAAACATCGGCTGGAGTAGCGACGCCTGAATTTTGGCCAAACGGCCCATGCTACAACGTTCGCAGTAGTGAGCCTGAATAGACTTGTTTCTTTGTATTCGTTTTTATACCACGCCATGTTGCGCTGGTTATGCATAACGTGCTAAACCTCACGCCGCAGTTCGTATCTCCTGCAGCTCGCAGCCGAGTAGCGAGCTCCAATGTATTTTTTGCTCTTTTTCGCGCCTTATGCGGATATTCTGGCGAGTAACTATACAGGAACTAAGCCTGATCGCCGAGTCAGCTTACTTCGTGAGCGTGAGACATGGCTAGATTTATGCTGGTGTGCAAACTCCCACAAAGAAGGACGTACATCTCGTGCTCTGCTTAGCCGTTGGTGCACATACTCCTTTGAAAAGTGCAAAAGACTTAGAAAACTAAGAATACAAAATACAACGAGGCAAGTCGCCTTGAAATAACCTGTCCGCCGCAGTGCGGCGAAGTCGCCACATAACTCACTGCTGATGTACTTTCGTGACACAGTTAACCCATGTGCGGGACGCTAGAAGCCGGCGCGAAGCTTGCGATGTAATTCGCCAAGAACCACGTAATTACTGCCACCTTCGAGATGTGCGTGTCGCCGCTGTCGGTAGATGCTACAACACACAGTTTATCTCGAGACAGCGCGCGTAAGACACCGTCGCGTTACGTCGACAGCAGGGTGGTTCTTGTGAGTTGTTTAGAGCAGTGAGTTGCTGTCGAAATAGTAAGTGCCGAGTAGCAAAAGGGTAGTGCTGAGATGGTGCGAACACGGTGGTTAGCAGATGCTGTCTTGCGATTCGTGCCCGCATAAAAGCACTTCCGCAGCACGCATCCACATGAATGCATCTCTGGCGTCGGTGGAGGCGAGTCTTCGATTACGTCAAGCTATGAGGGTTTATGCAAACCCTATCTACAATGTGGCCACCGTTTTAGAGTCTGAAGCCTGATGAATCAAACATGCGCACATTTACTCTTTCACGGGCAAGTACTAGTAATTACGAAAAAAAAAACACGGCAGTGCAATATGGCTGAGTGCAAATAAACTTAACCGAAAGGAGGGGACAGGAAAGCGACGTCTTTCTAATGAAATAAATTCTTGGACGTTCGTTGCTCTGCACCCTGTCTTCTCTTTCCTCCTACCGGGTGCGCTGATTTGCGCTCGTTCATAGCCATGTTGTACTGTTGCGTTTTGGTAATTACTTGTACTGTACCTGTGTACCTCTGGATTACTGTACCTCTAGAGAAGGTGTAACGCCAACTGGAACGAAAGACGAAACAAAAGAAGACGCCGACCAAACAGTGGCGCTTCACTCCCTTCCACGTAATAAACGTCTATTGTACTACTACAGTCACTTTAAGCGAGTTTCTGATTCCCTTCACCAGCAGTCACATTGTATTGACCAAGTGCTTTACAAGATTAGCAACATTTTGCCGGACGCTATAAATGTTTCAATCATAAGCGGTCTATCCTTTAGGTTTTCTTAAGAGATGGCGAGAACCGGTATATAAGCTATGGTAAGGAAGCCATTGAGTGGCTATTCAAACACGTCTGACACAGTCACGCGTGCTTATGGCCAATTAAGCCCTATCAGCATGCGTGATGTGTCAGACGTTGGTAGTCAATCATTGATGTAAAAGAATCATGGGAGAGTTTCCCAGCCTGCTCTCTTTGTGAATTCTCGTTTTTAAAATAATTACATGACTTCGAACATGACAGAATTAAGTTAGACTCTAAATTACATTAAATGCGCTAGAGGGGACGTTGCGAACGCACCGGTTGAAAATGGCGGCATTCGTGGATACTGCATTATATAAGTAGCACTGCTTTTATGGAACCAACTTCAAATAACTGATTCCGAAAATTACCTCTGGACTACCAATTTGTTGTCCTTAAAAGCGGTGTTTTCGGGAAACTATTGAGCAGAGAGTTAATTAGAACAGAAACAAAGCAGCCTAACGAAGTCGTGAAATATAACATTTTGCCTATTCATTCAAAGGGGACATGTTTACACCAACTCAAAACACCTCAGATTCAAAGCGGCGAATTCACGAGGAATGCCGTCAGTAAACATCGGATAATTTACGATCACATGAGCTTCCATCGCAGGCCTACATCCACTGCTCTTGAGAATGAGAACGGAAAATATATTACTTTCACTTCTGTCGTCTGCAGAGGAAGTCCGGTCTTAGTCTTCATTCCGGTTAGCACACATGTGCTAAAATAAGAAGGCAAAAAGAATATATGCGGGTATAACTCACGTTGGCACTTGAGCCCCTGCCTGAAGAGTCCGTAGAGTAGAGAGCCGCAGTGGTCGCAGAAAGTTGGGCTCATGTAATTGTGCACCCGGAACCGATGTGGGACGTCCATCTTGAACCTCTCCCGGAGGTACTTGCAAGCAAGAACGAAAGAAGAATATTATTTGCATTTAAAACGCCGTCGGAAAAGTTACAGTCGACACCCCTCTGATATAGGGTCCCTAGATAAAACAAGTTTTAATTAGAGACCTTACTCTAATATTGTTCGCGAAACTTGCACGAAATTTCTGCTGCGCTTCGTTGACGGAAAAACGAACGTTCTTTACGTGAATAGTTTGATTGGAGGATGACCGCATCACTTGAGTGTTTGCCAGACTTCAGGCCTAGCCATCAGGTCTACAAAAAAAAAAACTGGAAAATTAACTCGTCGAAGTAGTTTAGTTACCATACTGCTAAGGTGAAGGACCGAGCTTGTGTTCCGCCGCATTTCTATGGAGGAGCAATGGATGTTCGGGAACCGGAGAAGTACAAATTCATGGTCATTGAACACAACGTACCATATTTTCGCATGATAGGTTTGGCACGCAAAGCCACAAAATTAATTGATAAAAGTGCACATCTTGATAAAGATTCTGATTCCAAACAAATCAGTTTTTGGGTTTTCTTTGCTGATCACGAGATGCTGGGGTATATTTCGGACCAATGGGAGTTTTTAACGTCGACTGATAACTCTGAGTAGAAGGATGCTCTTGCATTCCTGACCGATGAAAATGTTGCCGCCAGACGGAACTTGACCTGCTCCACCGATATTATCAGCATGACACTTCAACCTCTGAACATCGGCTGAGCTTATGTTGAAGCGCGTAGACTAAGAAAGGTGAACAAAGATAGAAGAAAGGCAGTGAGGTAAACATGAGCTGAACCCGGTAGGCTACCTTGATCTGGGTGAAGGGGAGGCGCCGGGAAAGGACGCTGTTGCCATCACCGTAACAACCGCGCTGAACTTGACATCACTGATCGTTTCTGGGCTGGGTCCGCGATAGCCCTCATATTGAAGAGGCAGCAGTTACTGACGCAAAGAAGGTTTTCGTAAACAAACTGAACGATGAGAACAGCCTCCACGAACAACGCCATTCGGCACTAACAAACTTCTTCCTTCGCTCTGTGAGCGTCACTGCCCGCTTTCTGTTTTAAAACCAGACGAGCGCCTCCCGTTTACGCGCGCTTGCCATGGGGACTCCCCAAGGTCTTTTGAGCGACGGTTTCTGAAGACAATCGCTAGTGTCGCGGACGTTCGGAAGCTAATCTGGCACCACTAACAAAGCATCGTTATCGCATGGTGACTTGTGGTGATTAGAATTATCAATGATATAGTGATGACAAAATTCGAAAGTGCTCTCGGGTCGCGTCAGCGGCTATCCCGCGCAATAATAGGGAGATTTAGAATAGTGCACCGCGAGCCCTTGCGGCGCGGTCGCTGCCACTGCGCATGCGTCGTAACGCGAGTCGGCATTGGCGTTCGCGGACCACGCGCAGAAATTCCGAAATCGCGTGCGGTGATGGCGGCCCGCATGTGGCCCGCAAGCGCTGGTTTTGAGGCTATAGCGGCGTCACTGCGACCATGCGTTGTGGTTTGCAGCAGGGCAAACACTATTCTAAAGCTTACATGGCGGTCGCTACGCCCACAACGCCCGCAGCGGTTGCAAACGGTGTTATAAAACTCCCTAATAATCTTAGTGATTACACAAAAGCGAAGACAGTACAGGAATTCTCGGGTGTGCTGACGTCAGAGCCAATGATGAGCGAACAGGGCCGCGGCAAAAAAGTGACAATGGCCGAACGGACGTTATCTTAGTCACCTATAGTCACCTATAGTCACCTTGAATTGTGCCCTCGGCACAATTCAAGATAGCTTGGCGCATACGTCGTCGAATTCACTCATAGGTCGACTCACTGAGACTAAGATCGAGTCGTGAGTCCTTGTCAATTTGAGTAATGTTTTGGTGAGTTTTGTCAGTGTTGAGTGGTGAGTTTAGTCAGAATCAGGCTGAGAAAAATTTGAGTCTAAGTCAGAGTGAGTCCCAAAGACGAAATATACTGCTTGAGTTATTCTGAGCAAGCTCCACATTTTTTTTACCGACCAATTGCTTGCCGTCACGATACATAATAATTATTGGTCCTATCTTTTATCCATGGGGATCTATTTTTTGGTACGAGATTGAAAAGTTACAAACGCGTTAATAACTGGGAAACTTGTAAAGCAAAGCGATGCATTGCTTTATGATACCTTCTATCCTACTATTACATTGTAATTTATTTATATTCCACTCCTTCGCAATGAAACCATACTTGCTAGTGCTTCCGAAGGGTGGGATATATTTCAAGTAAACGCAAAGTAGCCACGAAAAAATCGTCAGCTCTGCGTGGACAGCGCATCACAATCAGATCGAAATCTATACAGCGCCATTTCTTTAATCCGTTGCAAACTTTCGACTATAAAGAATTGAGGCTGAAGCCCTTGTAATAGGTTCGAAGCACTGTACAACTCGCACTTGCAACAATTTATATTGCATTGGACCCAGTTGCTGAACACGCATTTTGTGACGCCTGGTTGTTATTTTACTCTTCTAGCACGCTCTCTAACGGATGATAAAGCTGTTTCTTTACGACATTATGCTTAAAAGGCTTTTGTGCGCAGGAGTTTTGAGAATACTGGTCAGTTACGGAGAATACCCGGCTTTGAACCCGTTCTATCTTGCATAGCTTCTGTTACGTTTTTTTTTTTCATCTTTCGAGTGGTAGTGGTTACGTACATCGGCGGCAGCGGAAAACTATATCACAACCTTATTCTGATCTCATTATGGCTTTCGCTGGCAAATAAACAGTATTGAAAGCATGATACAATAAAAGAGTGCATGTGATCACGGAAGTGAAGGCACCAAAATGGACAACGCTTGAGCTCAAGAACACTTGTTATGTGCGGTTTAGCCTACCAAAACCACCATATCGATTATAAAAGACGCAGTATGGAAGGCTTCAGAAATGTCGACCACCTGGGGTTCTTCAACGTGCACCTGATTCTCAGCACACGGACGTACACCATTTTTGCCTGCATCGAAAATGCAGCCGCCCAAGGTGCGATTTGATTCCGTGGCCTGCGGGTCGGCTGCCGAAGAGCTCAAGAATACAACGCCATCGCGTCGCGTAAGGGGGTCCTTTTGAGATGTGATGAAAATTTTATTTTATATACACACACACAAATATATATATATATATATATATATATATGTATAGAGAGAGAGAGAGAGAGAGAAAAGGGATCTGGGATAAAAAATGAAACAAGGAGCCCAACCACCTACGGTCTTCTCCCAGGCTTGGCCCCACCAGTGCAAACTGTCATAATTTTTTAACTCACAATTGTGTTCACGGGCATGTCCGGTATATCATGGCGCACTGCCACTGGCGGCATTGTCGCATGCGCAACCATAATTTTCGACGCCAAAAATTGTCGTTGTGCGTCACCATAGTTGGAGCAGAAGCGGCTTTCTCCGATCAAAATAAATTTTAACTGCTATGTACCCGGCTTTCCTACATGCATTGCAATAACGTCACATCCGCAGCAACAAAAAAAACCTATGAATATGGTATGCCTATTTATGTTGCATAGGGCCTTTTAATGGCGTCATTCTGCGTGAGATGAAAGAGTTTGAGGGTTTCACCGACGTTTTCAGACGTAGCGCAGTGGGTGAGATCAGTATTCACATGAAGATTTGAAATTAACGCATCGTGGAGAGTTTAATTTTTTTTGTCTTCGCGCTGCATTGTTGACAACGCAATGGCACAAGCTTTCGTTTATACAGGGTGTCCCACATAACTTGAGCCAAGAATTTGAAAGTGAGAGGCCCTTAACTAGGAGGTGAATTGAACCAAACGTATACTACTCGCACTAGCTTGTAGGTACTCAGACCATTTTATATTTCTCCCCATACTAAATAACTAATGATTATTATTTACCTAATTTTTAAATTATGGGCTGGAGACCAAAACTGTGAGATGTAGAGCACTTTCAGAAACCACCGACTAAATTGTTTCCTGTACTATACGTCTCACGCTGTTATTTTTTCCACGTTGTAAATAAAGGCTGCGAAACGGGAAAAGAAGCCGTGTGACGGAAAGCGAGCGCACTGCTATAGTGGCGCTATAGGCTTTCTTTACAACGCCGAAAAAATAACAGCGCTAGACGTATTGTATAGGAAACAATTTTGTCGGTGGTTTCTGAAAGTGCTCTACTTCTCAGTGTTCATATTTTGGTTTTCCAGACCATAATTTAAAAAAATAGGAAATGAAAAATAATCAATTGTGTAGTATGGGAAGAAATAAAAAAATGGCCTGAGTACCTACAGGCTAGTGCGAGTAGTACGCGTTTGGTTCGATTCCCCACTGAAGTGCCTTGCATTTTCGAATTTTTGGCTTAAGTTATATGGGACACCCTCTATAGCTCTACGTCACCCGTGGCAGATTGATTTCCAATAATTTTTCGTACATTCCTTCTGTAATCATACAGCCTTCTTTAAAAGTAAAAATTCTAAGTAAATGAAATACAAGAGTGACTGGGACTTCAAGCGTTTAGTCTGAGCCCTGATCAGAGTTTCTTATCCGCTCTACGCTCATCCTTTGCAGCGGGTAATCGATGCTGAAAAACGGGGAATATGAGCTGAAATTGAACTGAATGAAAGTTTAGAATCGTAAACGTCAATACGTGCCACAATCTCGGCGAAAAAGCGGCAATATATATCTGCGAAAGCGCTTGGGAGGAATTACATGCCGCTTCCATGGCTGGAAGTGCTCGGGCATTTGAGCCGGCTGGGGTGCCCTCCCGAGGAATTCCTGCTTCAGCAGCACTCCTCAGTCGGGTGCGGCTGAACGGGAGGGCTCATGTATTTCGAATGAACAGTGACACAGGGGCCTCCATGAGCCCCGCATTCCTGATATAACGCGGAAGTGTATGAACGGAAAATAAAAAAAAAGGTAGCTCGAAATTGGAGATTACTTGCGATTGCTTTAGAACATCTCCCGAGCGAACGGAGGAGAATGAATGAGTTGGGAGCTAAGTTTGATCGCTGAAGCAAGCAATTTTGGAGTTGTTATCTATACGCTTTTCTTTAACATTTTCATCTTTGCGGCTTTCCAAAGGGTATTTCTGTAAGACGCACTTACTCATCCAACTTTCCCGCCAAGCGACAGCCTGCTGAGCAAAGAAAACGTTCTCAAGTGGCATGCTCCTTTCTTTTTTTTCTGATAAACTTGAGTGACATCAAAATCGCGGTTCGTGTGGTCTTCTGCAGTCGTCTTATTAAAAAAAAAAAACGGCGTCTCACACGCAGTCCATTGGCCAGTCGATAATTCCTGTTATAATATACCACTTGCTTTTACAAATTGATGCCGAGAAAAGATTATTGAAAAGCCAGAACGTGTTTCGTGGAAGATCAACTTACCTTGGTATATGGTCGTGCGCGTGTTCGTATGTGTGCGTCATTGTATTTTTGCAACGAGCAATGAACTGATCTTTGATGTATACAACTAAAACATTCCGAGAAGCTGGATTAGATTCACATCAAATTCTTAAGTTCGAAATGGCGGGATGTAGCGTTCCCATAATCACGGTAGCTAGCGAACGTGTGAGCTGTACAAAACGGGCACCAGATAAATTATCAGGCGATTATTTTTTTGGCCAGAGTAAGGGCAAGTGCGGGTGTCTGTTGAGCACTGAAGCTGTACGAGTATTAGGGTTTCTTATTCATATTTTCAGCGGGGGTAACAACTTATGTTCTCAGAGAAGGGTGGGAAATTATTTGCCCGTTTTCAAGATGGTATTTATATATTAGCAAAACAGTAAACGAAAACAATGAATGCAGTTAGATTAAGAAATCGTATTCGGGATGCAGTAATGCTGGTAATTTCACTTTCATAGGTATGGTAATAGGGGAGAAAATTGCTGCCAAAATCTCCTTTCTAAATTTTGATCCGATGCGCCCCTGTGTGAGGTCACAGATTTCAAGGTTTATAATAAGAATAATACTTTTTTTGTGTTTTGAAGACATGGGGTCAGCGAAATTCACCTAAATTGTATCTGTTAAAGGGACCATGACACAGTCTCCCATTAATTTGTGGTTTTAAGCAAAAAATAAAACTAGATGGCCAATACACATATACTGGTAAAGTAGGTGGTAAAAGAGTATTTTAGGGCGAAAAATTCCTACGAGTTACCTGCCATAAACACCCCCCCCCCCCCCACCGGTGACCGCCATTTTAAAATAACGTCTTTGACGTCATGCGTTGCTTCGTGCTAAGCCATCGTCTTGTACCCAAGCTGTAAGTGAGCGTTCAGTTTCAGCGTCAAGCTGAAGAAAGCTAAAACAAGTTGATTTCGCGTGCAGCTGATCTCCGAAGAATACGGTTTACCAGAATACATACGCTTGCCCAGCCAGCGTTTTACGTCGTGGCGAATGCGCCAGTGTCGCCCGCATCACAGCCCACTCGCATGTGTACAAAATAAATATTCAATAACAAAATTTTTTATCTACCTAGTTCGTCAGAATTTAGCCAGTATTTTTGTTCAAGAACAACCAGTAACCCACACAATACAGATAATGATAGAAAATTGCGTGTTGTGGTGCCTTTAATATTTGTTTATTAGTAGTATTAGTAGTAGTGGCAATATTTATTGTAAAAAATGTCACTGAATTCTGCAGGCCAATATGGAGCACAGCGCTGCATCACGGAAAGGAAAATAAAGGGGAAAGCAGAGGAAGGAAATATAGTAGGAAGGTAGAATAAGCAGCCGGGGTTAATAAGCAATCATTGATGGGGAAGGCCAAACAGGAAGTCAGTGTCCAGCAGGTTGCGGGTGCCTGATTGTAGGCGGCGATTCAAGTCACCTACAGAAACACCAACAAGCTGCGCAGAGGCAGGAGGTTAAAAGTGATTAAGGACTACGCAGGCCTTATCAGACGGCGTGAAAATCTATGACGTCATAGTGATCGGTGTGAACCTTAAAGGTAGCTCGCCACCCGCATTTATTTCTATGTATTTTCTTGCTTACCACAGAAACAGTGATTTGTCTCTCCTTCTTTATAACTTTACTTCACTCTCCCTCCTTTAAAAGTGCAGGGTCACCTCAACCCTGTTTGAACTTGCTGCCTTTCTTCGAATTTTGACATCTTTCTTTCCAGCTTACCAAGCGTCTTTTTGTGGCAAGCGTGATTTTGTTTTGTGAAAGAGTACTTTATTGATGCAGGAAAAATGACTTTACTCTCTCTAACCACTAGCCGGGCTCACTGAATACTTTTCGTTGTTCTCGTGTAGGGTGCAGATATCTGTTGATCCGTGGCGCCCTCTGTCATGAAAAACAGACACCTCCTTCGAGGAAGGGATGCGTTCATGAGCTTGCGAACCGGCAAAGCACCTGCCCGTTTTCTTCATGTTGAGTTTGTCGAACCACAGATTTTCGTAACAGCATTCCAGAGGGAAAGTTGTGTCTGTAGTTGTAATTGTAGCCCATAGCGCTTCAGCCCGCATGAAATTGCTGGTGGGTACACGGATTAGCCTAAGCTTCGTTCTTTCGGTTGCCTGTGGCCTACAGCCCGTGGCGTAGCCAGAAGGTCGCACGCCGAGCCTGCCTCCCCTAAAATATTTTTGCCATGCCACACAGCGAAAATTGACAATTTCAAAACATTCCCCCCCCCCCTTTCTTATATATATATATATATATATATATATATATATATATATATATATATATATATATATATATATATATATATATATATATATATATATATATCTATATATATATATATATATATATATATATATATATATATATATATATATATATATATATATAGGGGAAAGAAGTGTATACCTAAGGGCTCGTTTTTCCGTGTTTTTAACACAATAATAATGAGATATAACAGACAGTAATGCCAAGGAATGTACAGGGGAAGTTATTAACATTAATGAAATGTAAATAAGAAGAAAGAAAAGTGGATGAAAAAATTACCAACTGTAAGCAGGAATCGAACCTACGACTTATATATATATATATATATATATATATATATATATATATATATATATATATATATATATATATATATATATATATATATATATATATATATATACTCTCAGTAACCTGTAATTTCTTTCCTGTCCTGATGACAATGCATTGACGAATCATTCAGGAAACAAATCACAGCTCATGACTACTGGCCTTGAGCCCCGCCACGTGGGTCTAGTGGCTAAGGTACTCGGCTGCTGACTCGCAGGTCACGGGATTGAATGACGGCTTCGGCGGCTAGATTTCCGGTGAAGGCGCGAATGCTGTAAGCCCGTGTGCTGAGATTTTGGGTGCACGTTAAGAACGACAGGTGGTCGAAATTTCCGGAGCCTTCCACTACGGCGTCTTTCATAATCATACGGTGGTTTTGGGACGTTAAGCCTCGCATATCAATCATGATTACTGAACTGGGCACGTAAAACAGAAGAGCAGGTCTGAAACTTCTCATTCAAAAAACTAATGTGCAACAAACTAGGCAGAAAACAGCGCTTTGCGTCAGGTGGCGAGACACTGGAAGTTGTAAACGAGTATGTCCATTTAAGACTGGTGGTAGCCGCTGAGCCGAACCATGAAAGTGAAATAACTAGAAAAATAAGGATGGGGTGGACCAAATTCGGCAAGAATGATGAAATCATGAATGGTAATCTGCCACTAACCTTCAAGACGAAGGTATATAACAGCTTCATCTCGCCGGTACTTATCTACGGAGCAGAAACCTGAAGGTTTACAAAAAGTGTTTAGCCTAAATGGAGGAAGACACAGGGACCGATCGAATGGAAAGGATGAAAAACGTTAGGTGTAACCTCCAGAGACAGGAAGAGAGCAGATTGGGTGATGGTACAAACGGGGAGAAAGGATGTCTTAGCTGAAATCAAGAAGAAGATATGGCCATGGGCCAGACACGCAGCGCGTAGGCAGGATAACCGCTGGTCATTAGAGGTAACTGACTGGATTCCCAGACAAGGCAAGCAGGTGAGCGGAGGAGATAATGTTACGTGGGCAGGTGGGATTAAGAAGTTCGGATGTTTAGTGTGGCAGCAGAGAGCGCAGTGATTGGCGGATCATGGAAGAGGCCATTGTCCTGCAGTAGGCGTAGTGAGGCTGATGATGATTGATTGATTGATTTGTGAGGCTTAACGTCCCAAAACCACTATATGATTATGAGAGATACCGTAGTGGAGGGCTCCGGAAATTTTTACCACCTTGGGTGCTTTAACGTGCACCCAAATCTGAGGACACGGGCCTACAACATTTCCGCCTCCATCGGAAATGCAGCCACCCAGCCGGGCTTTGATCAAGCGACCTGCGGGTCAGCAGCCGAGTACCTTAGCCACTAGACCACCGCGGGGGGGGGGGGAGGGGTGAGGCTGATGATGATGACAATACGTATACGAGACGTGACGGTGACGGCCAAAATCCACCGGGAGTACTTGTGTAGTTGTCATGAGAATAAAAATTATAACAAAGCTGCGTTCGCGAGGCCCAACTTCACGTCTATGAAATAACGCGAAAAGAGCGGGTCATGAATGAAGCTAAGCCAGAGCCTAGTCTATTGTGTAGTAGACCGAAGAGGTATGGCATGCCAGAGGATGCTCGGAAAGCACAGTACAAGACGTGACTTTCTTGGGACGCTTTTAATTCATAGCAAAGCCTTTATAAAATTTCGCAGTGAAGTCTTTTTAGATGTGTCATGAAGTTCCCCTGTATCTGTTTCTAGGGCGCTCAAGCAAACTGCGAGCGAGACTATTTTATAAAATAGCTTTTGCACTTAATGAATAAAGCATACACTTTAAGCGTGTAAATATAACTAACAACTTGTTCGAGCTATGTGTAAAAACTTTCATACCAGCGTCGCTTGAGACTCCTTCACTGATCCTGGGCATTTGGCGAGGAACTTGTCGTGGCATCGCTTGTGCACGGTCACTTGGCAGGCTGAAAGAGGAAGGACGCTTCTTAAAATTCATGACCTGCCAGCAAATAACTATGGCCTAAAAGAGGAATGACCACACGAAATTGCAAGAACCACATCGAATGTGTTACAAGTTTATGTTTGTAGGTTAGTATAGTTAACATTTTTGGGGGGGGGGGGGCGGGGGCGGAACTCACACACACACACATTATATATATATATATATATATATATATATATATATATATATATATATATATATATATATATATATATTTCTTGAAAGTCTTCCTGGATTCCGGTCGAGTTATAAGTCACCAGAAGAAGCGAACAAGCAAACGAAAAACGATGCTTTATTGCCAACGTTAGGGCCGGGGACCGGCCTTCGTCAGGACGTATGCACTGACGAAGGCCGGTCCCCGGCCGTAACGTTGGCAATAAAGCATCGTTTTTCGTTTGCTCGTTCGCTTCTTCTGGTGACTTTATATATATATATATATATATATATATATATATATATATATATATATATATATATATATATATATATATATATATAAGGAACAAGAGATAGGGCACGACGCATGTTCATTTTCACGGTAATTACTAATGATTTGGCAAGTGGTGGACCGGCCTTTTTCAAAGCAATAAAGAAACGTCAAGGAGTACCCTTATAGATACGATATATATGAGCTAGTATAGCATGATGACGTAGCAAAGCGATTACACAATCATTTTTGTGACCCGTTCATTGCAGACAGTATTCTACAAGCTTAATAAATGGCGCTACAAGCACAGAACTGAACATTATTCAAAGAATGTCAGAGTTAACGCCCATGATGCGCGGTGAACATGCTAACAAGAGGGGCTGTATTTTCGTTATGCAATGTAACGGTGTTGAATTCATAGATTATGTGTAAAACTCTCGTATTTCGCAATCGTGATGAGAATACTCTGATTCGAGTATAGTGGTCCTAAATTTTTTTTTCTTTGGTTGATCTATAAGGACAAAATTGTTGTGGTTTGCTTTAGGAGACACGACAAAAGGCTGAGTAAACGCCTGACTAGGTGGTGCCACCCGGCAACAAAGCATAGAAATCACACCAAAAAGCACTTATAGTAGAGAATGCATGCGTACACAATGATCCACAATGGTTCCTAGACTGAACGGAATTATGAGTCGAGTGCACAAGAATATAAACACAGCTGTCTTTAGCGGTATCATTACAATGAACTCCAACTCATCATTACCTTGAGGAAAAAAATTAGTAAAAAGCACGTCGCCACTATTGCATCTATTATACATACTGTGTAATAATTCTCCAAATAATGCCCTGGTATGCGAGTATGTTTTCAAAGCGGTAAGTTAGGAAGCCTATTAGTATGTGATCAATAATTGTTAAAGCGTATTGCGAACGGCGTTTCTATTTCTCCATTATACTGTTCTTCACAGGCTTTGCACTCCAACGTGAATATAATGTTAGAGCTATCGCAATCGAAGGCGCCGCAAACTGTATAGGTGAAGTTTGAAGACGTACTAATGACTACCTGGGGGGTTTGAATATGTAGAAACATGCTGCAGAGCGGTTTACTTCGAGGTGCTCAACCATAAAGTGTGGTTTCACTCATTTATTTATGGCGTAGATTTTTGGAACACTGGTAAAGCACGCGCGGTGGTTCAAAAAAGAGATGAGGTGCGAAGCATCTTACGATCGTCCCTCGTCCATCGTTGCAGCGATGCTAGTACTCGGAGGGCCCACTAGATGACTCTGAGGTATGTTCCACTATCGCATGTTCCACTACCGGAGCGTGCTCCGCTATCATTGTAGAGTACTATCGGTAGTGCGCTGGTCTGTATAATAAAAGCGCTTACTCCTCTATCTCTCTATCTCTCTCACGCACTGTGTAGAAGTATGAATGAATGCGGTGGAGGCGAGGGCTCGCAAAGCGGCTGTGTGCGCAACCATGAATGGTTACAGTGATGAATAGAACACCTCATTACAGAACTTTAGGTCGACTCATGGCTGCTTCGCATACCACTCGTGGTTCTTTTCATGGGATGCTGTGTGCAATTTTTTTTCCAGATGTTCACTTGCAGATGCTGTGGTGGCGTTTCAGTATATAACGAACTTTTGGTACTGAACCGGAGTAATCAATACAAAATTATTATAAGAACGTCGTTCAAGCAAACAGCTTTCGCCTAGAACTTCAGCCGTATTTATTTGGTCTGCTCATTTACACCGTCATCAACCAGGTTCGCCGGGTACCGTCTTTTAATGAGTACATTTTTAAGTTGCTAGAAATCAGATAGGAAGTCTGCGGTGGGAACACACTTGCTTAAATCGACATCTTTATTATAAAATATACGAGTCTGGCAATGCCGCACATGGCTGCTTAGAAAATGTAAAAGCTGGTTTTTGCCAGCACGCTTGCGCTATACTAGTTTTAATGCGACTGCGTTAAAGAAATCGATTCGCAGAACATTTGGTGCTGGTGTGGGCACCGCTGTTCGCGTGGGCGTCGTTGCTTGTGAGCGAAAGATCATCATCTTGTCCACGACGAAAAAATTTAGTAAGATGCGACTAAAAAATGATAAAAATTTCAGGGTCCCATTGAGCATAACGCCGAAGCCGTTTGCGGGGCAAAAAGGTGTTCTACCTCACAGCCAGACCTCTCCTTGGAAGTAAAAATTAAAAGAAATAATAACGTCGTCTGCTTGGAAAGGCAATGGCAATAACGATCATGCTTTACGAGCATCCGCGCCCTGTATAGAGGCTTTAGAATACAACATTTTATGTCGCAGTAATATTTTGTGGCAAAATCGTACATTGGCAAATGGCATCAGAACGTCTTATTATCATAACGACTTCACGGTTTCAAGCCGGACACCCTTACGAAATACACACACGTTCCTGCGTATACTCCGTCAAGTCGACGTTGTGGATGCATAGGCTGTTAGCGAAAATTTCACGCGCGTAACTGCTCGTCGTTTCAAGCATCCTACCCATTATACAAAATGCGGCCATATTTGAAAGATTCACGGACACAAACCACTTCAAGCTTTATTAATTATACATTGTAATAATCCACTATTCAAGCTGTTCGAGTAACATAATGCAATAAAAGTGTGCACTAAGTGGTTGAAGTACGCACTATAAGGACAGACTATTTCTATCGCGTTCAACTTCTAAAGGCGAGGCTTAAGAGTCCCCTAATTCTTGTGACCAAGTTTTTGTCAGATAGTGTCAAATTGACACCCAGAAAGTAAAATGATTAGGTAAAATATATGTGTGAAAGCTTTATTGTCGGTTCAAAATTATTATGTCCTTCTATATACTTATATAGGCTTTCCTCCCCGTATGTCCAAATCAAGTATACATCTTCTATAAACCACGCATAAAACAAAGGCCGCTGGTCAGTGCTAGACTGGATTTCAATCTTTAGAATACCTATGAAAATTTTTGACATACCTAGGGCCTTTTGAGTTCCCATTGACGTGCGCTGATCTGAATGTAATAACAATTATTAAATACAAAGTTGCTGAGTTTAGGTATAAGCTTTATTAGCGATCTATGAGTCTCTAAAAAGAAGAAACCCAACCCCGTGAGCCTTAAGTACTGCGGCATGGCCATCGGCATGCGGTGTATGCCACAGAGAGGCAACGTTCAGTCTTAAAAGCATTGCACTTACGTTTTCTTTCGTTTCTTATAACTTTTTTCACAAAATAACTCCCCCGTTTCTCGACGCTTATTTCGCTCCTTGGGTCCATAAGCTTTATGCGAGTGCAGTAGGAGTCGCTTTAGACTAGAAGGGTTTGCAGTATGGTAACGCTATTTGGTTGAAAACCACTCACACTCTGGTGTTAAGCTGCAGGTCTCCATGTAATTGTCCATACGCGTGTGCGCTTACGCGATAAAGGAATTACACTGAGTTATTTGTGTTTGCATTAAACAAACCTTTGTTTGAAATAAACAAACGAAGAAACAAGGGGAATAATTTTAGGAATACCGGACTTTTCACTGGTTACTAACCTTTATATGGCAATTATTGTGAAAAGAAAGTTCACCGACGATTGCGATGTCGTCAACGTGAATCCTGAGTGCAGCTTCGTACTGGGGCAACGAGAAGTGCGCTTTAAGGCATTGAGCGCGCCATACGTCGAAATCGTAATTTTGTAAGGTATTATTTTCACTATTTTTATGATGCTTGTGGCCCACGACGATGGGAAGTTATGGCTGAGCACTCTAGGTATTTAAATCATCTGTCACGCTGCATTACATTAGTTAACGAGCTCCCTTACCCGACATGACGCCTGTGCACAGTCTATTCCCAAATGTGTTGCAGGAACCAGTGTTGTCCTGATTTAGAATACTCTTTCAAAGCCCCTTCAATCCGGTGTATTTTTTGTTAATTAAAATGCCTTCCGGTTACGTCGTCGACAGCGGCAGTGACGGCGACGCCGCTCAACGCAGGAATGGCAGCCCGAAAGCTGTGCTATGAATTATCAAGTCTATTTCACGTCCGTGAGATTCGTGTAAACAGTGGAGCTAGGAAGCAGTGCCACTACCCACCGGAATGCAGGTTGTGTTCTTTTTCCACTCTTTCCTCTCTTTCCACATAATAGTCCTTTTCCTTTACTCTCCTTTCTTTCATACGGCCGCTATCAGCCTCTTCCTTCTAACAAACCTCCTCGTCCCCAGTTCTTTTTTCAAACCCTTGCTGTTCCACAGTGAACATCAATAAGAGAATTGGTGCATATATATACAGTGAAATTCTGTTTAAGTTATTTTTGCGTTTACTCTTATGCCAAGGAGATCGGGAGAACAAATATGATAACATGAGTGTGCATGGAGTATACAGCCACATACATTCTGCTAACTACCAAGTTAAACAGTGAATATGAGCTGGTATAGTAACGAAAGCTGCTATAAGTGAATATAGGAATAGCGCAGCCTGGAGTAGTTACAGTGTAACTACGGAAGCAATAAACAAGGATAGAAAAGACTGCTGAGATGGTTGAAAG